CTGGAGTGCTGGAGAGTTCAGGATCTGTCTTACTCGGAATCTGCTTTCATGACTTCAAAGTCAGTCTATTTTTTCTTGGTCTGTCCAGCCCCATGTGTAAAAGATGAATTAACATTTATTTACAGCTTGATTAAGAAAAATTGTATCTGGCCCAGGGAATCAGTTCTGGAGATGTTACTAAACAATATAGAACTGGGTGAAATATTGTCATTAGGCTCAACACTGATATCTTCAATACTTAATAGGAGTCTTCTAAGAATTACCTCCCCCTGGAGGGAGGGAGGGAGGTAGTATTTAAACAAATGCAAAGAAAGGCTTTGAGCTCATTTATCAGAAGGAACAACAAGGAAGGCTTCTAAGACTTCTGTGGTGTACTTACCTGGGCAAGCATCTGCTTCCATTGATGACCAAAAAGTGATTTTGCACAGCTGTTACATGCTGACCTGTGTGACCTTGGGGCACACTGACAATGGTTAGATTCAACTTCTCAATTTGTAAAATGCTGCTGCTGCTGCTGCTGCTGCTGTACTTCCTGTCTCAAAGTATCCAATCTAGCGTGAAAGTTACTTGATGCACTGTGAAGTTTATGTATAAAAGTAAAGTGGTTTGATCTAACTGAAATTCAGCAGTCATGTACAGTAATAATCTATAATGCACTATAGTTAAGAATAGATATAGAAAGAAACCAGGTTATGCAAATTTGTTCATCAAAAGATGCATAATTAGGAAAGAATTCCAATAGGATAACTCATCTGTACTTAGAGAGATGGTAACAGAACATCCCATTTGAAAAGGAAGAAAAGCAGAATAAGCCCTAATGAATTCCTCTGTGCATTGCCTTTATAGACTATTTGATTTAAAAGCAACATAATAGATTTTTCAAAGCAACTAAAGAGGCCAGAGCTGAGTTGCCCTAACTCCCGCAGAGGTTCCATGATCCTAGTGATTCTGTGCAGCCACTGCTTGGGTCCGAGTCACACTGTAAGCTCCCTCATTAAGATGCTTTCACCGGGACACCAGGAATTTCTCCAGAGGATTCTTGAAGGATCAGAAGCATCCCATGGACAGGAAGTCTGGCCAGGTCTCCCGGACTGGTGCGGGGGATGGAGCATTCTAGAAACCATGGCCAGCATCTTAGCCCAAGCTTTCCCTTGGGCCTCTGTCCCTGTGTATGGCTGTGTGGTTCCCCCTTGATTTCCTTCCACAGCTCCTTCATCTGCCCCACACTGCAGTTCATGGCCAACCTCAGATGACAGCTACAGCTTTGAGCAGAGCTCACTTTTACCTATGCATGCCCCCAAGAAGAAGTTTGAAAAACCATGTACTTCCTCACTGTTTACATCAAATTTTTCACTAGAAGTTAGGTAGATGTAAAGAATGCAATATCTAGAATGCTTAAGTAACAGTTTAAAAAATTATCCAGTAGAATCCAGATCCAGTTTATGGCAGTTTGATTCCTACTGGCATCCATTTAAGGACCACTTAAATCTTCTTCTATTTCTCCTAGACTTTGTTTATCTTTTTTTTTTTTTTTTTTTGTCTTTTTCCTTTATATCGATACCGGGGATCGAACTCAAGACTGCCTGCTTGCAAGGCAGGCGCTTATGCCGCCGAGCTAAATCCCCAACCCCAAGACTTTGTTTTACAAAGCACTGAGATCACAGTAAAACTGAGCAGGAAGTCCAGAAGGTTATAGAACCCCAGCCCCTGCACATCTGCAGCCTTCCTAACACCTGTGGCCCACACGTGCAGTTAATTTTCATTGTCAACTTGACTGGATTAAGAGGCTCTTGAAGAGTTGATGAGACATTCTGCTCATCAGAGTTTTGTTCATAACTGCTTGTGTTATCAGGACAGGGGTCCAGTACGAGGGGGCAATCTGGGGGTGTGGGGTGTGGTTAAAGGGTGCAGCTCTCCCCTGCACACTCCTCCTGTGCTCTGCTTCCTGGGCACTGTGAAGTGGACAGTTTTGCCCCGCTGTGCCCTTTGCTATGCATCCCTGCCCTGGAGCCAGAAGTCATAGCCTGAAACCTCTGAAACTGCAGCTGTCAGATATTTTGTCCCAGTGACCGGAAAGCTGACCAGTATATCACGGCAGAGTGATGTGTTTATAATGCTGGGTGAACAGAAGTCTATAGTTGACAGTAGTGTTCACTCTTGGTTTGTGCAATAAGCTTTTTTAACATGTGGGACATTTTGTATTTTACTCCTATTCCATCTTCACAGACATTTGTCCTGTTGTAATTCATTCATGTGCTTGAAAGTCTTTTTTTTCTTTTGGTACTGGGGATCGAACTCACAACCTCATACTTGCCAGGCAGGCACTTGTGCTGCTGAGCTATATCCCAGCCCCTATGTTCCTCTTATATGTCTCTTTAACATATTGTTTATAAATTGATAGGTAACTTTTTTAATTGATAGGTAGCTTTTTATTTTCAGTGATCGTAGGCACTTATTTAAAATAACTCAAAATTACAAAAAAATTTAAATATTTATGTTAAGCATAAAAAGTAAAAATTGGGGAGAAGATCTCTTAAAATATAAATTGGTAGAATCCTTTTCCCCTGAATAACTCAAGGTTTAAGGATGGGTGCTCTCTTTCAATTGTATTGCTATTTTTCCTTTACATGGATGTTACTTTTTATACATAAAAGTAATGAGAAATCTCATTTGTATTAATAAGGAGATGAGAATTGAAGAACATCATTTAGTTCTTTGCGCTCTTTCCAAATTATTGGCAAAGAATTCCAGAAAGATCAATGATGGCCCTTACCATCCATCTGCTGACAAGATCATGAGATCCCTTCCATTGTAAGAAAACAATTAGAAGTCACATGATGGCCAGAAGGATTCATTATGAGTCTGTTTTTCATACCAGTATTTCAAGCTTTCCCTTTGTTTAGAGCCTTTGAGTTTTGCTTGCCGCAGGGAAGTAAGGTCCTTGTGGGTGTGAGGGTGCTTTTCCTTTCCAGGGTGTGGAAAGGCAGTTGTGGGGGGATGGCCCATTCTCAGGCAGACTTAAGTAAGAGAGGACATACGAAGGCTGAAGATGTACAAATTGATGCCAGCTTATCCTTCGAGAGCCTCCCATCGTTTTCCAAGACAAAAATAGGTTAGAGACTCCAGACTTTGCATGTGGCTTGCTGGGAGTGGCATGAGGTCACCCGTCACCATTCCTCACAGAGACTGTTGCACCTACTGTGAGGTAACAGTGTGTGCCACTATGTATGATCTGCAGCACTTGGTAGGGTGAGTGGAAGTGGGTCCTGTTGAGCTTCCTGCCAACTAGTGAAGAAATGGAGCAAGTAATAATTTAGGGAAGTACACAAGTCTAGTGTTACAGATCTTATTTTGATTCTAGAATACAGCCGTCTGGACCAACATGGATCATAATAATCAACTCCACCTCGTGGGCAAGTTATATTTATAGCCAAGACCCCTCTGAAGAAAGATGGATTAATAAGACAAGAGCACTGGGCTGGGGGTTTAGTTCAGTGACATAAGCCTCTGCCTGGCAAGCCTGAGGTCGTGAGTTCAATCCTTGGTACCACCAAAAAAAAAAAAAAAAAGAGAGAGAGCACACAAATGTATTTACTATAAGTTTTGTAACAAAAGGGAGGGTGCTTCACAAGTATCAAGGGAAGCTGTGTTTTTTAGATAGTGGGTGCAGAGTCCAACTAGAGGACAAAGGAATGTGATCGAAACTGGGAGAATTTAAGAGAGTTGCCTTACTGTGTCATGTTTTATTTATTTTAATAGCTTTTTTTTTTCTTTTGAGAAAGGGTCTCACTGTAGTTCAGCCTGGCCTTAAACTCCCTATGTAACCCAGGCTGGCCTTGAACTCATGACAATCCTCCTGCCTCTACTTCCCAAGAGCTGAGATTAAAGGCGTACAGGTGTGCAGCACAACAGCTTTCTTCTGACATTAAAAATAACATTAATTTACTGTTGAAATGAAAGTTGGTGAACTCAAGAAAATAGAAGAAAGGAAATTTAAATTAACTATCATCCCATTCTCTAATAATAGTCACTATTTTATTTCAGACAGTTCTTATTCCCTAGATTACTGCATTTCTTGTGATACCAAAGGGCTGAGGAAAGGACAGTTCAGATCTCAGCAGCGGGCACAGGAGCAGGGTGGCCCCGTTTCCATGGTACCCCAGGCAGCCCCCTCACTGCTCCGTGGGTATTTTGTGGTAGATTCTGAGGAGGTCAGAAAGATGAGAGTTTGCAGATTTTAGATACCAGAAACATAACACAGTTGCTGCATAGTCTCAAACAAGTCTTTGAAAGTTGGCTTCAGTATCTGTACCACATGAAGTGAATTTGCTACATATTCGTCACCAGAACTGGGTTTTGTTTACTTTTCTGCTTCATTTCAAACTACAGTACAGAGTTAGTTGGTGGGTGTTCATCTTCAAAAATGAGCAGTAAATGTATCTGGAATAGTGGAAGGTCAAATAACTTCTTGTTCACAGTTAAACTACAGCAGTACTTCAGTGGGATGTACAAGTGGGCTTTCTCTTACCAAATTGTGTTTGCAGGTATACAGCCACCTGCAGACAGTGCTGTGCTTCTGTGTTCTGAGCCATGCAAGGCTGTGCATGTGCATGCTGTACGTGTGTGTCTGCCTTTCTCTTTTCTTTCTTTTTGGAAATCCTAGTAATAGGAGGTAGCATATTCCATCAGTCAGGATGGTAGATGGTAGAGAATTTGGCCACACACTGACTATTTCCTGTCCAAAGCTCTTCCAGGGCCTCCCAGCTTTTGCTCATGTTCTCCAATATGGAAATAAGATTTATCTTTTGATGAAACAAGTGTACTAAGAAAGAAAGTTTTCCTTTTGGATTAGTGGTCTGGTGGCCAGGACTCTTGGTTGACTCAGAACATTTGCGGTGGTTCTCACACAGATCCATCTCTCTAACAAAACCGTGAGTTTTGTGCAGTGTCTAGCTTAGTAATAAACATGTACTGACCTGATCTTTTAATGTTTTATGTAGAATTTCTACTTAGATAACAAAGGAATGAAAGAAGGCAAGAAAACCACTGAGAAAATGAATGCTAAAACGAAGGAATCCTTACTTGAGGTAAGCTTAATTTTGCAGGGTAGAAGAAAAGACAAGGATGTTTGCTTCATCTTTTTTAAGTTATTCCTTCTCCAGATTGGTGGGAAGTTCTAAGATATAGACTGAATTTTTAAGTTTGAATTTTAAAGACAAATTATTACTAAATTATAGCTACTTGGATAATTCAACTGATTCTTTGAGTCAGTTGTAATAAAGTATGGCTTTAGATAATGTAGTGTGCTTCTCATGATTCTGATTAGCAATTTTGGACCAAAAAGACTTGTAAATTTTCATGATACTCATCTACCTACATTTTGTATGTCCTTTTATTTAAGTGCTTCACAAAAGTCAGACAAGGATTTCTAAATCTTCAAATCTTCTGAATGCACCTTGAGACCATATGATAAGTTCAAAAAAGCAGATACAAAAGCTTGAATACCATGTGATTTGTCTTATACAAGAAACCCAGAGTAGCCGGGGGTTTAGCTCAGTGGCATAAGCACTTACCTGGCAAGCGGGACATTGTGAGTTTGATCCTCATTACCAAAAAAAAGAAAGAAAGAAAGAAAAGAAGCCTAGAGTATAAATAAGAACAAAATAAAAGATAGAAAGTAGGGAGGTAAATGTTTCTAAAAAGAGAAAGGGATCAAAAGATGAAAGAGGGGAAAGGGAATTTAAAAAAAGAATTTGTATTGTATGCATCTACCAGTTCTCCATAAGATACGTAAACATTATGTACTACAACCATATATTGTGTGTGTGTGCACACTGTATATGTTTGTTGTTTTGTTATTGCTTTTTTTTTTTTGGTACCGGGGATTGAACTCACGACCTCGAGCTTGCCAGGTAGGCGCTTGTGCCACTGAGCTAAACCCCCGGCCCCTGTTACTGCTTTTATTTTTTAATAGGAGATGTTCTCCTAAGCAGTAGCTATGTTTGGTGGCACATGTGAAATCTAGAGTTGAGACGTGGCAGTATTTGTGGTGTGGTAATGGAGTCTCTAATCCTAATCCTCTGGGAACATCAGGTTCAGAGTCATCAGAAATTAGATTCAGGGAGACGATGGGAGTTCATCTATCTGTGATGATTACTGTTAGGACATGTTCCAGAAGTTCATTTGATGACTGAGCTTTGGAAACCCCTGATGAGTTTTCACGCAGTCAGTACGTGTGCTCTGCTCTCCGCTAGAACACAGGTGGAATAAACACCAGGCCCCAGGTCGCTGATGGACAGATTTCACTTGCTGTCCCTCCTCACCTGAGTGCTGATCTTGTCTTGAGTTAGGAGTCTGGGTTTCCCTGAAAAGTCACAAGGCCCAGTGAGGCAGTGTGGTGGTGTGGGTTCTCCTGGAGCCAGGCGCTGACGGTGCAGAGCACCTGCCCTACTCACAGGGTCTTGCGTGGACCCTGTTCTCGCCCTTTTCCTGTCCCCAGCCAGGCTCCAGCAGCTCTGCAGCCAACGAGGCCAACAGCAGAGCTCGCTGTCATCCCCAAGCTCCCAAGCACATGCTTCCAGCTCTGGTCCAGGGGCCAGGAGCACACAGGGTGCTTGCCAGGAAGGCTGCACGGGAAATGGGCATGGCTGTTCTGTCCTTTCTGAAAAAGGATCCAGGTTCACTCGGGGAGTATCAGGCACCAAACATCTCTGAGAGGGGATATGCAGGATTCTGAGTATCTCGAGCTGAGATGGGGTCTAATGGACATGGAAAGAGAACATTTTCCTGGCACAGCTATTTGTTTCTAATCAGTGCTTAGAAATTAGTGTCTTTAAATTGGGGGCTGGTTCTGTGTTGGCTGAAGCAATTGCCTGAGCAGTTCTTGTGATAGCCTTGTTTTACCTTTGAATGTGAAAGAAAACACAAAGTATGTTATACTATGAAAAAATCCATATTGTCCTGCTGTCTAACATGGACCAAAAATCAGAATAAACTTAATAGATTATTGGCAGGTTAACCAGTACTAGCTAAATTGATACAAAATTGGGAGAATGTGAACAAAAATGCTTTCCATATCTAAAAAATACTTAGAGGATGCAAAATTATTCTGTACTTAGGAGATCAAAAGAATGTTATGAGTTATAAAAAGAAAGCAAAAAATAAGTTTGGTTATTTGAACTAAAAGAATAGATATCACATACTTGTAATCCTAGTACTTGGGAGGCTGAGGCAGGAGGATCAGGAGCTCAAGGTCTCAAAAAAAAATGTATAAAATAGTATCCAAATTTACTATATTGCTTTTTTGAAGAAATTTATTAAGAATATGTAAGTCTGTGAAAGTCTTGAGATTTGAAAATAGTGTTCTGTTTTTTGAGATTTGAAAATACGTTTTGTTTTTCCTTTCTGATATAGTGGCAGTAATTCTCCATTGTCTGAAAAGAAAATAATCCTAAGAATAAAATATTGACTTCTTTTATGAGTACAATGATACAGGTTTTCTATTTATCAGCAATGAAATGGTAATTCTGTTACATATCTGGAAAATAAGAATTTTTTTTTCCCAATTTGGAACAATAGTAATAGACTTTGTTAAATGCTTACTTTTACAATATACCAAGACTGTACTCATTAAGCTTATGAAGTAGGGCTGTTATTCCATGTTTTTAAGTAAGGGAAAGGAAGTTTAGTGGTCCACAACTGCAGAGCTTAGTGTTCAAGAACCCTTGGCATCTAACTCAGAAGCCATGCTTCTTAGGCACTGTGTTAGCTTCCTGTCTGTGACGCTTAGCATGTACTGGAAACAAGAGTATTCAGAGACAACTGATTCTTAGCTTACAGGCTAACTTGAAATCTTGTTTGAATAGGAACAAGAGCAGGACATGGTGGTGCATACCTATAGTCCTAATGCTTAAGAGGCTGAGGCAGAGGGATGTCTGTAAGTTCAAGGCTAGCCTGGGCTACATAGTGAGTTAAGGCCAGCCTGAACTGCATAGCAAAACCCTGTCTTTAAAAAATAAAGTGAATCAGACTGTGTATCTTTCATATGTTCTATGCTTTTGGAATTTCAATTTCAGGAAAGTTTCTGTGGAACATCTATCATTGTACCAGAGCTCGAAGGAGCTCTTTATCTGAAAGAAGATGGAAAGAAAACTTGGAAAAGACGTTATTTTCTTTTACGAGCTTCTGGAATTTATTATGTCCCCAAAGGAAAGACAAAGGTCAGTGCATCAGTCAGCATTCTATTACTATAACAAATCCCTGCTTCAGTACACAACTTTAAAGGAAAGGTTCATTTAGGCTCATGGTTTTAGAGGTTGCAGTGCTCTTGGCCACTGCTCTGGACCAGCAGCAAGGCGCCATATTCCCAGCAGGAGTATGTGGAGGAGGAAACCTCACCTCATGAGCAGAAGCAAGAGAGAGAAGAGAAAGAGATGGTCCTGCTGTGCCCCTAAAGGTCACAGCTCTGATGATCTAGCTTCCTTCCACCACGCCACAGCTCCTAAAGACTCTACACCTCTCCTTACCATGGGCTAGGACCAGTCCTTACCATGGGGGTCTGCAGGGAACATTCCAGATCCAAACTATAGAAGTTGGAAAGGGGAAAAAGCTGGTAAAATAATAAAACACAAGCAAACAAAAAGAAAGCATTTCATGACATTGAAATTACAGGAATCCCGAGGTAGCAATTTGAATACACCCTTATCTCCAAAGGATCTGTAATTCTCCAGTGTTCACACAAATACATATCCAAGTACAGAATTATTAAAACACTTTTGAGTTTTCCCATACCGTTTCCTTTAAAGTTAAAAAAAAATTACCCATTTTAAAATCAATTTTGAGAAGCTATGGCAGAAGTATATTCTTAGAGAGTATTTTGTAACTTTCTGTGTCTATTTATGAAGAATTTGTCTTCTTGTGGGTACTCTCCTGTTCATTAGAGTAAAATTTATTTTACTTGGAATCATAAAAGTAGTAGAAGTCTTGAACGATCTTCATTGAGAAGTTGAGAAGTTAGACTTTGTATTCAGAATATTTAAACTGTTCTCTGAGGCAGATTATGTGCCTTGCACTGCCTAATTGAACAGAATACTTCAGCTATCACTTTTACTTCCTGAGTTGGGATTACTGCCTCAAGTTTACCAGCATGAATTAAATTTTTCTTCTTTGAAATGTAATTATAACAGTCATTCTGATCGTTAGCTTTCCCCAACACATTTCTTAGAGGGTTGGGATATCTCCTTCTTCTGTGCCTCTTTAAAAAGCCCTAAAATGTATCTCTTTTATCTGTACCTGGGTCACTCAAACCCAGGGCGCTACCCCTTGACGCAGCTATGCATTGCAGGCATCCTCTGATAAGGCTTCAACTGCTTCTACGCAGGTGACCCCATATTGGGCGCCCCACTAAAAAGAAGCTGCTGTCATCCATGTGGGAGGCAGAGGGACATGCTGATGCTTGCTGCTGGGCAGCTGTTGCTCTCTTTGCCTCTTACTCCACTTTTAATCTTAGAAGTGACACTTTCCCATCCCATCCCACTGGAACAAGTGTGTCTTCAATTCCAGTCCTACACTGAGACGTAACAGTTGACCCACAAATAGCTTGTTTTTTATAAATGTTATGTCTCTCACTCCCAGATGTAACTGAGGCATAAAGATAAGCCTATTACAAACAATGCTAAGTGATAGAAATTAAAAGTGTCCGCAGTAGGGTTGGGCAATGATACCTCCTTCCCTTGTTGCTAGCATTAATAGTCATGTGAGGGGGTTAACTAATGCATCAGGGAAACAAATAAGAAGAAAAAAAGAAGAAAAACCCTCACTGTTCACTGTTGACCTGGTTGCCTGCCATGCAGCATAAGAAAATCTATTAGAAAAATAAATTTATCAAGTAAAAACTTGTTTTCCTTTATACAGACAACATACAGATTCGACATGATGCAGAAGATTCCATGCATAGTAGGAATGAAAAGTACAAAGTACTTAGCAATAAACTTGAGGAAAGTTCAAGACCTGTACAGTATAAATTATAAAATTAAAACAAGTAAAACTGAACTGTGAAACTAGAAACATACTGTGCTGCTAGGTGAAGGTCATTCTGCCTGAATTTTCCTATAAATCAGTCCAATCTCTTAAAATTTCAGTAAAATTATATTATTTAAAATTCACTGACTGATTCTAAAATTAATCAGAAAGATGTATTGTTCCAGGAGACCCCTAACATAAACAGCAGTAAGCTAGAACTCCCTTTCCCAATGATCAAAACAGAGATAGTAAAGCCTGGCCAGTGATGAACAGATCACCCAAAAGCCATCTAAAATCAATAAAATTAAACAGCAATTTACAGTCATGAAACAGTATTTCTTTCAATAGTATTAAAATATTGTACATCATTTTGGGAAAAAAGTTTCCATCTTATTCATGTACCAAATTAATCCTAGATTGATTAATATATACTTAGAAAAATAGTATAGTCATAGGAGAAAGTATAGGTTAATATTTCTATAATTTTGCCATGGAGCAAAGCTTTCTTAATCAAAAATTCAAAGTTACAAAGGAAGAAACTGACGTATTTGACTGTATGAAGTTGTTTTTAAATTCTTGATAGCCAAAGATACTAACTAAACAAGAGATTAAAGACTAGTTCAAGTTTCAGAGATTACATTTGAAACACATATAACCAAGTACAAGTATCCATAATATAAAAGACTGACTACAAAAAGCAGGAAAAACCCCACATCAACTACAAAAAGATAAATATACTTGTAAAAAAAAAAAAAAAGACAAACCATGCTGTTGACATATGATGTACATTTGTCATTCCAGCTACTCAAAAGGCTGAGGCAGGAAGATCACTCCAGCTCTCAAATTCAAGTCCAGGCTGAGCAACAGCCCAAGATTCCATTTGAAAGAAGAAAAAACTTCCAGCAAACAGTAGTTCAGGGCTAAGGATGTAGCTTCATGCTATAGCACTTGTCTGGCATATATACAATATATGGTTGCACTGAGAGAGGAATAGAAGAGAAGACAGAGAGGAAAAGGAAACAGGAGAGCATGAGGCAGAAGCAGAAGCAGAAGGAGGAGAAAGAAAGGGGGGAGGGCGAGGGAGGGAAATGGCGAAGCTTATTAAGTGAGAATTCACCAAAAAAGACGTACTAAATGCCACAGAATAAAAGTTACCCCTGGGACCAAGCATGTTGCCCTGCAGTAAAGCACTTTCCTAGCAGGAATTTGATGAAAAATGAAAAAAGGAAATGTTGTTCTAAGCAATAATCAGGAAAGTGCAAGTTAAATCATGAGACATTGTTTCCCCCTGGGAGACTCATAAATTAACACATTGATGCCCAATTTTGGTGGGTGAGGATAAAAAGAAACTTTACACGTGAAGAAACCCTTATGCCTGAAAGTTTGGAAACAAGTTTGGCAAAGTCAAATTGCAGACAATTTAACAAAACCTATGCAAATGTAAAAGGGAATACACCCTTTCAAAGAGCAGCTGCATGCTTGGCAATCCATCCAACAGAATGTACAATATTTCTTTTTTTTTTTTTTTTCTTTCTGGTACCGGAGATAGAACTCACAGCCTCGCACTTACCAGGCAAGCACTTGAGCCACTGAGCTAAATCTCCGGCCCTACATAATATTTCTTATAATAGCAAAATACTGAAGTAACCTTTAATCACCTATAGGAGAATGGTTAAAAATAAATTGTTACACCTCAAGGTGGAATCATGCACCAGTAAAATGTCTCCTGACATAGAAAGAACCCAAGATACAATGTTAAGAGAAAGAATAACTTGCGACCATAATGTTAAGTGAAATAAATGAGGCAGAGTTTAAACATGACATAGTTTCTCTCATATAACAAGTGCAAAATATATTTTTTTAAAAAAGCAAACTAAAATAGACAAGTAAAATAAAATAGGAAATATGGAGACATCTTTTAAATGGGAAGGGGATCAAGAGATGGAGGGAAACCATGGGTAGTGGCACATGCCTGTAATCCCAGAATTTAAGAAGCTGAGGCCGGAGGATCTGTGAGTTTGAGACCATACTGAGCTACATAGTTCAAGGCCAACGTGAATTGCACAGCAAGACCCTGTCTTTAAAAAAGAGGCAGAGGAGGGGGTGAAAAAAGAATTAAGATGTTATATTCACGTACCAGCTCTACACAAGGAATGTGATTATTATGTACTGCAAACATGTATGAATAAAAAGAAAAACAACAAGCCATGAAATGGTGTTTGTAGTAAAATCTCATTCATGCTTTTAAAAGTTTGCATGAGGCTGGGACTGTAGCTCAGTGGTAGTGCATTTGTATGGCATGTACAAGGCCCTGGGGTCCATCCTCAGTACACAGGGAAAAAATCCAACTGAAAATACAAAGGAAAAATTATTGCCACCGGGGTGTAGTAGTTCTACCTTTTATTCTTTATTCACTAGGTAACAAATTATAAAATGCAAAAGAAAAAAGAATAATGCCAAATATATAATTGAAGTGTAACCAAATATGTAGATTAGAGGTTGCCATCTTCACTAAGCACATTATGTGTGGAAGAGAAGGCTCTGTTTCCATGGCAACCCTATAGAGGAAGTACAGAAGAAAGCCTTTTTCTTGAGAAGAAGTGCATGATGTGCATGCTAATTTACTGAGCATCGAATTTACCTCTCATTGTTCATCCTGAGAGGAATTTTTTTAATGCTCTATCACCAAATCCATCACTGACTCAGAGTGGCAGAAGCGGAGGTAAAGTTTCTGATCATTGGTCACCTTCTCTTGGCTGAATCAATAGCAGACACCTCAAGGTCAGTGGGGTCTGGCCCTGGAGTCTGCAGTCAGGCTCTGTGACAGCAGTGTCATCCTTCACTCCATCTTTCTAGGGGCTTGTGGCACACAAGAGTTGTATCCTTTTTCTTTCATCTTTTATGTTGGTTTGGCTTGCAGATTATGACAGTATATGTGATAAATGGTAATATAAATTATCTAAAAATTCAATATTTTCTTTACTGAAATGGAATCCTTTGTGGTGTCATCAAGAATGACCTTGGAAAATTATTAGCTGTCATCTCAATTGAGGTCATTTTTTCCCCTCTCTTTCAGACATCCCGAGATCTGGCTTGTTTCATACAGTTTGAAAATGTCAACATTTACTATGGGGTTCAGTGCAAAATGAAATACAAAGCGCCCACTGACCACTGCTTCGTTTTAAAGGTATGTCGTGAGAAGCCCTGAATTTAACTGTGTAAGTAGTTTAGGTCAATGTTTTCTTTTAAGAGAAAAACATTAAATATTATATAATTAACAGGCAATTGTAATGTAATAAAATTTCTATTTTTAAACCAAAATCAAGAAGGGAAATCTCTCTTATTAGCTTAAGTCATTCTCCTACCCCAAAGCATGCTACCAGAGCCTAAAACATTAAAATAAATCTGCCTGGGGTCCTTCATCACTTGTGACAATATAAGCAGATCCACATTTTTTAAATAAATTAACATATAGTTTTATTCATAGAATAAATAAGTTCAGTTCTTTATTGAACTCTTCCAATGACTTGTTACAAATTTTTAGAAAGTAGAAACTTGCTAGAGTTTCCTAGAAAAAGATACAAAATAGCAAGAAATAAATCACTTTAAAAATTACCGAGCTGTGAAACTTTCCAGGGTATATATTGTCAAAAGGCAATGTATTATCAAATGTTTGATATGGTTCACGTGGTTTGAACTTAAAATTTAAATTAAATCAAACCAGTTAGAACAATAGAGAGTTATTCTTATAATCACACATATGATGTGTCCATGGTCTGTGTGTTTACAGAGGTCTGGCTTTGGGGCCTTGGTATCTTTTTGTGCTTATTCTTAGATAAATATAATAATTAAGGCCACATATATTCAATAATTTTGAGTTCCTGCACAATTATCATTGCTTATTTTAATCAAATAGTAATTTGTTAATTTTTTTTTTAACTTTGGGGCCAGGGATTTAGCTCAGCAGCATAAGCGCCTTCCTGGCAAGCATGCGGTCATGAGTTTGATCCCTGGTTCCAAAAAAAAATTTTTTTTTACTTTATTGATACCTGCAGATATTGCTTAATTTTCCTTTAGAACTAGTTTTCCTAGTCTTCTTTTGCATCCCCAAGCATCGATTTTTAGTAATTTGTAAATAATAATGATGGTGGTGAGCACTATACTAGCTTACTCAGCCTGACTCTCTCCTAGTAGTTCTCATTGGGTTGCATTTTGCCCTCCTCAGGAGCTATTTACAATATACAGAGTCATTTTTGTCTTGGGGCAAGAAACGGGTGCTAGTAGCATCTGATGAACAGAGGTTGAGAGCTAGCTACTCAACATGTTCCAATGCACAAGTCAGTTCCCACACTGAAGCATCATCCACCCTGAGTGCCACAAGTGCTGCTGTTGAGAAACCGTACCCTACACAGCATGCTCCCAAAATAATGGTCATAAAGAGACTGAAGGAAGACAGCATTTTTCTCCCCTTTCTTTTCCCTTTGACATGCTATCTCAGGGCCGTCCCACTTGACCTAGAATGCTCTTGTAATTCCTGCTGTCTCACTGTATTCACATCTTTTATCAACCGTCTGTCCTCTTCTGACTCTCTCTAGTCCCAGTTCTGACATATTCTATCGCCTACCCTTCTTCATATTAATCACGGCCCTTGACACCATACTGCATGTTTTGTTTATAGCCGTTTCCCTCACACTAAATGCGGAATCCAGGAGGAGAAGGATTTCTGTATGCTTACTTCACTTCTGTATTCCCAGTACCTTGTTGTCATTCAGAAGCTAGTGAGTGGTCTCATTATTTTGGAACCATCCTGGCTAGGGAAGCATTTCCCAGCAGCAGCACTGTTGGTATTTTGGGCCAGGTAATTCATTGATGTGGGGACTCCATTTTTCATGTTGGCTCATGAATTTGGGGCTAGGACCTAGAGTCATGGTAGGACTGATTTCTCTGACCCAAGAAACAAGGTTATCAGAGGCTGCAGCAAGAACAGCAATACAGGTTCCCTGGGTACTGAACTCAGAACTTCTGAAAGTCCTCATATCCCAGGGTGAAGTTTTCCAGAGAGAGTTGGAGTCTCTGGAAAAAAGAGCAGGATCAGAGGTGGAGACACAGCAGTGTGTGAGGTTCTGGGAACAGCAGTCGTGAGCAAGCTCAGGAGAATGTGCATTTCCTGTTCGACAAGATGATAGTCTGCTTCATTCTAAGGCTAGCTGCTTTATGCACAATTGCCCTGCTCATTTTGCTCTTCAGTACACTTCTCAGTTGCTTCCCAAAATATTGAGAATGCTTATTAGTTTTCTAGGTAAATAGGCCTTGTAGAACTTGATTTGTTTATGAATCTTGTGGTTACTTGTAGATATTCGAAAATTTCATTAGGGTCAGACAATTTCCAAAATGCAAAAAAATATGTTCATTGATGATATGAGGTGTCCAGGATACCTGGAGACACGCTACGAGGTCATATGGCTCTGTGGCTGTGTGATGACTGCGCGTCTAGACCAAAGCCACTGATTCAGCACGAGCTTACCAGCTGACAGTGTATCTGGGAGAGGTGGAGGTGGTATCAGAAATGTTGGAGTTTGAATCCTGGCCCTCCTACTTTCCAACTCTGGCTTTAGGAACACTGCTGAGACTCTCAGCCTCACTTCCTCATGTTCAAAGTAGAGATTTGAGGACCCAACTCTTCTGGGGGATCAAATAAGATATGCCATAGAAACATTAGAAAGTCTAGAGACACGCTGACACTGCATAAGTAGTAGTTAGTATTGCTTCATTCTAGTATTAAATAATTTCTTTTTTTTTTTTTTTTTTTTTTTTTTTTTGTCTTTTTCCTTTTTATCGGTACCAGGGATCGAACCCACGACTGCCTGCTTGCAAGGCAGGCGCTTATGCCGCTGAGCTAAATCCCCAGCCCCAAATAATTTCTTTTTGCACTGCTCAGATTGAACCCAGGGCCTTGCACATGGCACACCAGCGAGCGTTCTACCACTCGGCATTCCAAGCCCCTAAATAAACCCTTTTATTATCTAGTGGTTCTCAAACTTTACCCTGTCAAGCTCACAACTTGTTCCTAAAGCAGAGCTCCTAAAACATGGATTGCTGGGCCTGCAGAGTTGCTGACTCAGTGCGTCTTGGATCAGGCCTGGGAATTTGCTTTCTGACACGTTGGCAGGTGGTGCTGATGCTGTCGTTCGGACCGCTCTCTGAGAAGGCAGTGGAGGCTTGGCTGGTCCCTAGGGAGACTGTGCATACTCACTGGCAGGCGCAGGAACAGGAGGGAGCACTTAGGACCTAAGAACCCTTTCTTTTCTTACAGTCTTGATCTTCATGCACAATCCCGTCCTACACATACAGTGGAGCTGCTGCTCTGTGAATTATTTTTCACCCCACTCTGTAGCTTGATCAGGTAGAGGAAGTAAAAGTGTTGAGGAAGAACTTAGATTTTACAGAAATCTGTTAAGAGGTGGTAGAGTATCCGGAAAGAGTAGTGGACTGTGGGTTCCCTAGAAATGATGAGGAACCCAGAGTCCAGTTATCATTTGCCTACTGCCTATCTGTACTCTGCTGAGTTCAAGCTTCATGGTATTTCTCCCAAGATGACATTGTATTGCCTACTGTTGTGCATTTTTACTGACTTTCTCCCTTATTAGAATAACTGTGCTCTGAGAGCAGGGACACTTTTATCATATTTACTATTGTGTTTCCCAAGCTCATGTCAGCATCGGACACATTGTAAGTGGTAGTACAAATCCAGGGAACAGATGAATGAACGAATGAATGAATGAGTGAATGAATAGAAAAACATAGCAGGGTGCTTACCCCTCAATGTTCTTTGAAACCTGGTTCTATCACTAATAGTAGTAACAGCGATTGCTTCCCTGTCAGGCAGCAGGACCCATACTCCGTCCTTTTCTTCTATTATTTCACTGAATCTTTTTAACATCCTCCATGAAAGATGTTACCGTTCCTGTATCATAAATGTCAGAACAGGAACTCGAAAAGGTTTGTGGAGCTGGCCAAGGTCATGGCTGCTTCTAGGTCTGTACTCTGGCAAACAAACCCTTTTTACTTTCTACCTTTAATTTCTTGGACCCAAGCTTCCTGGTCAACATCCCCCTCTCCGTACACCTCTCTTCTGGCCTGATTTAAGGGTGAAACACTGGAGCCGCGTCTCTCACTCTGTAACTTGCCTCTGCTTGTAGCTGGGCTCCAGATCATTCCTGCATGCAGGAATGTTACCAGTTTTTCTCCTGGTTTCTGCGGACCTCAGCCTTGCACTTCACCCCAGCCCCTGCTCCCTCTGCAGTGGTAAGAGTTCTTCCCCTTGGAACACAGTCATGTTCAAATACTGCTTAATTTGGGGATTCTCAACCACTTCCCCTTTTTATCTGCTCCACCCCTTCAAACAAAGGCTTCAGTTGGCCTGATTTCCCTTCCACTCAGACCTCTTGAGAGCCGTCCGGCTCCTCCGTGTCCTCACTGTCACTGTCAGTGTACTTCATTCATTCCAAAAGATTTCCTGACCTAAATCTATTTGAGATCTTGTGATACATCAGTGAACGGAAGGAAACAGAAGGAAGGTGTCGAAGAGTAGGCATGCTGACAGCTTTCTCCCTCTGCCTCTCTTCAAACTCATAGCTTAGCTTTCCGGGGAACAACAAACTTTCCCAGGCCTCAGACCTGTGGTCGTGTTCAGTGCCTTTTGCACTAGTAACCACTTCCTCATTTTATAATCTTGGTCCCCTCCTCCATCTGCCTGGTTTAGTTCCAGTTCTGCTGGCTTCTCCTTCTCCCCAACACCCCAGAAAAATTTCCATGTTCCTTCTATATTTAGTTCTCACTGGACTCCTGCTGTCTCTGAGAGACCATATTCCCAGCCACAGCCCCAGTGCTGGGGAAATGCTAATTCCTCTCACTCAGCAGCCAGTAGTCTCACCACCTCTGTTAGCCCCATGCCTGCTGTAAAAGCCAGTGTAAGGGGCACCTCAACTGTGACTTGTCAGACAGTGATTCCCTCCTTCTCCCTACCCTAACAATCCCTCAGGATTAATGGTGTCACCACCTATGGCAGTGGTTTCCTAGAGCTGCCATGACAGATACAAATGACTTTTAACAATGGAAATTATTTCTTTAGTGCTTCAGGAGACAACAGATCAAAATTCAAAATCAGTATTGGATTCCTTCTGGAGAGCTCTGAGGGAAAATCAGTTCTGCACCTTTCTTCCAGCTGCTGGAAGCTTTGTGGTCCTTGGCATTTGTTGGCAGGGAGCTGCCTAACGCCAGTTTCTACCTGCATGGTTGCACGTGGTTACACGGCTGGCTTCTCGCTGTGTATATGTCTGGGTTGCTCCTGCTCTTGTCATTAGGACAGCAGTCCTGTTAGACCAGAACCCACCCTGATTTGGTATGATCTTAACATGATTGCATCTGCAAAGACTTATTCCACATAAGGTCACATTCATAAGTACCAGGGATTGGGACTTTTAGAGGAGACACAAACATAACAGCCACTTACTCTACAAAGCTGGGAACAGAAATGAGCCTTACATTCCTTACACTTCCCATTTCTCATGCAATCTCCAAGGCAAAAGTTCGTTTTCTATCACTGTCTTTCACTCAGCTCTCCGCTGCCCCTTTCTCCTCTCCCCTCTCTGTCTTCCATGGTATTACTCATTCTGGGCCACCATCCATATAACCACAGTTACTTCGTTTAATTTTGCTTTCTGACAAGGTCCTGTGATCCCCGGTGCCGGGTAGGACGTTCTGATTTCACACAAAGCCCTTTGTTCCAAACCTCTCCAACTTGGTTTTTGCTGATTTTTCCATGGCTCCCAAAACTTTTCCACAAAGGCTTTTGAATATTACTACAACATCCTGTTACTTCTTCAAAACACTTTTCTCAGCCTCTATTTTCAAATTTCTGTCATAAAGTGAGGCACATCATAAACTAACCACATACCTGTTGACATTCCCTGATTATGGTTTAAGCTGGCCTTTGTTCTTTATTCACCTAGAAATCAGATTTCTCTGCATTATTTGTTGAATGAGAGCCTTTGTTCTAGTTATGGTGTTGTTGCTAACTCTGGACCTGGACACATTTAACTTCTGACACTCAGCCTCATTTTGTAAGTTCAGAGGACCTGCAGGATCCGTTCTGGCTGTAGCATTCTGCAATGGCCTTGACCTTTGTGAGCTGTGCTTTCTGTCCTAAGAAAGCTTCTCTCTTTTTATGGTCAGGAACAGTCAGATCAATGAGGAGGAATCTGAGCCACTGACATTCTCCTTAAATCCCTTTGCAAATAACTGTTTCAGCCGATAAAGAGAGGAACAAGACAGTTCAGAAGTAAGCACTGCGGCAAGATTCCAAGAAAGGTCTGGAGGTCAGGCACAGTGCTGGCTCTCAGGTGTCCAGGAAGCCTGCAGGATTTCAGCCCAATCTAACAGAGGGAGAAAGAAAAGAGCCTCGTGCCCATGCAGTTCATCTTGGAACCATAAATTCTGAGGCTTGCAAGAGACCTTGGAAACCTCTGTTTTATAGTCAAACCATTTTATTTAAGAGAATGCCACATTAGATGAATAATATACTTAAGAAATTGTGAAGTGCTTAAATGGATACTTGTATGTAAAAGACTGCTTTGTTCATTTCCTTGCAAGGATAATTTAGTCTACTCCTGGAAGATTGACTTGCTGTGCACCAAAATCAAAAGCAAACCCCCAAAAAGTAGTATACAAAGGCTGGCAATAACAATGGCAACCTTTTAAATATCTCAGAAAGAAAAAATAGCCCTTTCTTAAACAAATTAGAAACTGTAAATCAGTGGAGAGGCCAGTGCTTACCCCTCTGACGTGACAAGACAAAACTGTAGGGTAGGAGCTGGTCACTGGTACTTTCAAGGACAGGGGTTGTGGTTTCATTTTGCAGCTGAGAATGCTGCAGGCATTTCTGGAATGTCACATTCCATCTGTTAATACCTGGCTTGTATTTTTTGTCAGTCTTATCTTCAGTTTAATAAGTGCAACAAATGCTTTTTTCTAGTAAGACACGTTACCTGAGTTGATAGAGATTTCCAGTTTTAAGGGTCTCCAAAGGACATCATTATTGGGACAGCATTTGCAAACTAAAATTGAACATTCTGAATTATTATCAAGCAAGCACTGAACCAACAATGAAATCTTGTCATCTGAAAGTGTTTCCTGCCACCTGCCGGTCAGATCCAAAAACAACAGCAGCTTTCAGGAGCCTGAGGGGAGGTTGTTCTGCCCTCAGGAGAGAGAAATCTGTGGCTCCCAAGCTAATAGGAATTGACTGCTCTCCAAGCGTTACTGAGGGAAATTCTCCAGACAAAAGGGTCTAAACAGGAAGCAGCCTATTTAAATACAAGACTGTAAGGGTAGACCTCACATAGTTGGTTCAAAAGATCAAAAAAAAGGAATTCTTTGTATCTTCTGGATTTTTCAGCAGTATCCTCAGTCTGTTATTTTGACTTGATAGCTTAAGATAAATACAAAAATTTTAGTTAAGTCTAGAAACATAACCAACCTGTCTGAGCACCAGTTTTTCTCATTAGAAATGACTGAACTTTCACCACACCCTAACAGTCTGTCTGTGAGTGTCTCATTATCCTTTCTGGTCAAAGACAGTATCACAGGCTAGCTCACTGGAAAGACCAGCAGGAAAACAAGCCTGGATACTTCTCCTTAGTTTCCAATTGCAACTCAAAAGTACAAAGCCCTTTGTTCAGATCACCTCACAATTTATCGGTTCCTTGGACTGACTATACAGAAAGTAAAAGTGAGCAGTTGATACGACACCGTAGGAGGAGAAGGGACGCTTCTGCTCTGTCCCTACCCACTCCGAGCACAGCAAGCCCACAGATGTGCCTGGCTGCCTTGGTTTCCCATGCCTTTTTCAGATCTTCAGCAATTCAGGCCATCTTAATTCATCCTAAACCTAGCTTGGATTAACAAACTATTTTATGGAATCCAGAAAAAAGAGGCCTAACCTCTCTCTGCCTCTGCATCTGCCTCTGCCTCTCTTGTCTCTGTCTCTGTCTCTCTCTCTTACACACACACACACACACACACACACACACACACTGTAATCACTAATTATCTTCATACAGTAAAATTAGTTACAAGTATAATGACCTATGAAAATTGACCTGGCACATATTTCAGAATTGGTTATCTGTCTGTCACCCTGTGGCTACAGTATATGTGACTGAATAAAAAGTACTTTATGAGTTCAAGGTTAGTCTGAACTATATAGCAAGATGGAGATCCATCTCGAAAGAAAGAAAGAAAGAAAGAAAGAAATGCTTTGTGAGTTCTTTCAACAATTACTTTGACATCTGGACATAAATAGGTACCATGCACCAGGTACAGGAGTCTTCAGCAAATGAGAAACAATAATTTCCATCCTCGTGGAGCATGCACTCTATTAGAAACACAAAACAGGATTACAAGGAGGCAGAGAACTAAAGTAAAGTACTGGAGGTCCCATTGTCATCACATCTGCCATTCCTTATTATTCTTGTGAGTTCCAAGAGGCCTAGATAGTCCTTGCTCATCCCCCCACCCCCAAGCCATGACTCAATACTACTTGAAAATAGATCCAAACACTTCTTCTGCAATCCTTTGGAGAGCACATAGAAGCTCATTTGGATGAAAGTTAACAGTTGAGGAATATCATTGCAAAACTCTTAAGTTCTTGACAGCAGATGTAACCCCTGGACTTAGTTTTGGGAGCTGTAAAACCATAGTTTCTGTACACATTAGCTCTGTGACATTAAAAAAAAAAGATATATAAAGGTATATTAATTCCCTTATGGTTCTTTCTTAAATCCTTTTGAAGTTTAGCCATTTTAAAAAGTATTTCTTTTCCTATACCTAAAATTACTACCAAATTACTATCAAAATTACTAATACCAATTTTTGCTTCCACCTCAATCAGTCGCACATTATTGTTTTTTTAAAAGTTATTTGGAAAAGTTCTTGAAGCTCCTGATAAATGTTTATAAGCTGTCTTTGAAATGTCTTCTTTCTAGCACCCCCAAATTCAGAAGGAGTCTCAGTACATCAAGTACCTCTGCTGTGACGATGCCAGAACTCTCAACCAGTGGGTCATGGGGATAAGGATCGCCAAGGTGAGAGGGCATTGGAGTCGCCAGCGGCTTCCTGACAAGGCTCCAGCTGTTGTGCTGTGAAGTAACCGGCCCGCTCGTGGGCACAACCACAAATACTATCTCATATGTTTGCCTGCTGAGTTCTTTAAGTAGGTGCAAGGGGTAGCGACATGGACCTCTCCACTGACCCGAGAATCAAGGCTTGACCTTCAAATGAAACTTTTCAGATAGTTACACAAGGAGAGGATTTCAGCTTAGTGTGCAGTTAGGAAACACGAGATTGGACTGGGTGTGTAGCTGGTGACAGGACACTTGCCTACTGTGAGTGAAGGTCTGGGATGGATCTCCAGCATGAGAGGGAGGAAGAGGGAGAAGGAGAAAAAAGAGAGAAAGAAGGAAAGAGAGGAAGTGAGGGAAGGTGAGAGAAACAAAAGGCTGAATCCATAGTACAGTTGTACGTTTAAAGACATAATCAGAATTGTTTGGACAAAGCTCTGTAGCGTGTAGATGAAAGAGTTAACTGATTTTGCTAATCTGGAAAATTATTTAACATGTGAAAAAATGATGTTTTATTAAAATATACAAAGAACTCACTTGGATAAGGAGTGAAGAGTAATCGGAGTGTGTTTTTTCCTCATTGTGCATATTGCAATTGAGTGGAGAAATTGAAAGAAATAAATTCCCTCTTCCTTTCTATTCCCTTGCTAGTATGGAAAGACACTCTATGATAACTATCAGCGGGCTGTGGCAAGGGCTGGACTTGCCTCTCGGTGGACAAACCTGGGTACCGTCAACACAGCTACACCAGCTCAGCCTTCCACAGGTACTAAGCTTTATGGCTTGCGTCTGGGTGGGGCAGTCATGGGTGGGGCTTTTTCAGAGGTGGCTGAATCTAGAGTGCGTGACTGATTCATGGTGCAATGCTAGGACAGGGGCGCTAGGATTAAAGGTGGGTGATTACTAAATCAGTCCACTGATTGGTTTGGTCCTGTTCTAATCCTGCTAGCAAGGATACAGTACAAGGGAAAGAAAGGCCTGTCTTTTCTCTTGCTTACTTTGCTACCTCCTGCCCACCATGAACTGTTTCTCCTTGGCAATTCCTGTCTCCCATGCCATCCTGCCTTGGAGCCAGCTAATTATGGACTGAAACCTCTATAAGCTGTGAGCAAAATAAACCTTTTTCCCCTCCTACTTTGAGTATTGGGTATTTTGTCTCAACAAGAGAAAAGTAACTAAGACATAAGCAGAGGAGAAATTCCAACACGCACTCAAAGCTCAGAGCTCATGTTCAGTCTTACCCAACACAGGTTACAATAGCAAACTTTATATACTCACATTGAATATGTTTCTCTTCTGGTGAGAAGGCTTAGCCTGCCCCCATCTCCCCACCCCATACAATACCCCTGTGTCTATTTTTTAACAAATGATCCCAGGTTTAGGGTAAGCTAATAGGGAGCTGTGTTTCATCAGGGTACAAATATTGTATTTGTCTGAGGCTCCATGAGTACCCAGAAGACTACTTATACAAAGGAAGAGATCATGCCCTGGTGTTTTGCTTCTGTGCTTTCATAGCTGAAATCCTATATCCAGTGCTAGACATCACCTTCTAGGGGTAACATAATAGAAACTGGTTTATATTTTTAAGAACAGAGCACTGAGGCATGGAGTGGGTACTATGTGCTGTTTTTTTTTTTTCACATATACCTTTGTCCCTTGGAGGTTTTTTTACATATACAATTATCCATGGAGGTTTGCTTTTAGGACTAAGTACCTCACCTAAAATGCCATAGTACGTGTACATAAACTATGTATCTTCCCATACTTTCTGTCATCTCTGGTTTATTTATAAAGCCTAATTAAATGCTATTTAAGTAGCTGCTTACTATATTGTTTAGGAATAGTGACAAGGGAAAATCTTTACATGTTCAGTACAGATGCAAATATTTTTGTTTGGTGGTTGGTTGAATCTGAAGATATGGAATCCATGGATACAGAGGACTGAATGCACTATTTCTGGTTCTTAAAACAGCCCTGACTCCACACTTCCTCACTCCACAGCCAAGGAGACTGAATATAGAAGCCAGTATCTAGTATCTCCTGTGTGGCTGAGCTGATTCAAATGCATTATGTTTATGATAATAGTACAAAGAACTAGAACCATTTCTAACACAAGGGTTCTGATTATTGTCTTGGACTTTGTGTCTGTTGCTGCTTCAAAGGATGTTAGCCAGCTTTCCTGTTGCTCCACACGATACCCAGTAGCAACAATTTAAAAGAAAGTTGTCTCACAGTTTCTGGGGATTCACTCCATGATTAGCTGGTTCCATGGCAAAAACATCATGGTGGAAAAGCATGGGGGAGCAAATGTGCTTAGCTCATCGTGGCCAGGAAACAGAGTAGAGGAACAAAGAGGAAAGGATAAGGGGTCAGATAAGCACCCCAGGGTCACACCTCCACAGCCCACCAGTATACATCCAAACATGTGCTCTGCTACTACTGTGAGCAGCTCCTGAGCTAATCAAGTTGATGGTCCAGCTTCAGTGTCACAAATGGTAAAACCACTGTGACAGTACAAAGGTTACAATAAGGTAGATACCACTCAGCATTTAAAGACACCTTCATTGGATGTGACCAGTCTGGCTATTCTGGGAACAGGGAGTTCCCTGCTAGTTAGGGAAATTTAATGTTTAATAGGATAGAGTGCTTTTCTTGGAGCTTCAGTCCACACTGCAGTTGAGCATGGGTTTCAATGGCAGCCTTACAGCAGTGTATTTTCCTGGAACAGCTTCAGTCTAGGAGTGTGTATTGCATATTACATTGAGTTGTTTCATATCCATAAGTCCTTTCACCTGGAGTATTACCTCAGCTTTTCTCTGAATAGCAAGATATTTGCATTTTTAAAAGAATAAGATCTGTTCACTTTTAGTATGTTCCTCAATTTAGATGTATGTGTGTTTCCTCATAATTCACTTCAGGTTGGGTAGGTACTTCGGGCAGGAATACTACATGAGTATTCTTCTGCCCTCAGGTACCACAGTTGGAGGTATCCAAATCTAACTGCCCCTATGACAACATTCATTTTGATCACAAGGTTAAGGCATGGTGCGGTTTCTCTCTGTACAGAGTTTTCATTTCACACCTAACAGTTTGTAGAGAAATACATGAAGACTACATAACCACATCATAAAACTCTCCCTTCTTCTCTCCAATGTCCTAAAGTGTTTCATGGCCTTCTTTGGGTTATGTTGATCAATGGCTTCCCCCAAATTCTTGGAAAACAGCCAGGCATGGTGGTGCATGCATGCAAGCCTAGCACTCTGGGAAACTAAGGCAATGGGATCACAAGTTTGAGCCTAGTGAGACTCTGTGTCAAAAAAAAAAAAAAATGACAAGGGGTTGGGATGTAGCTCAATGCAAAGGCCCTAGGTTCAATTCCCAGTATTTCCATTTTTAAAAAGTTGGGAAATTCTTCAAAGAAGTAACTGTTTGACAGAATATCTAATGTGAAGAATGGCTAATGCAATCTCTCCCTTGATTTGGGGAGGACAAGCCCGCTGGCATGAGCTGGGTAGTAGTTCAGTTGATCTGTCCCCAGGATGCTCTCTAAGGAGGCAGAAAAATCAACATGCAGCTTCTTCTGAGTTTTTGAAATCCATAAACCTTGCGGATGTGGCATAGCTTGGTGGTAGAACGCATCCTTAGCATGTGCAAGACCCAAGGTTCTGCCCCCGGCACAAAACAAACAACAACAAAACCTGTAACCCTCAGTGAGTCATCCCTCTGCTGTGAAAGAGCACATTAAAAGGCAGGAATAAAGTAAGTATCCACCAGGACTCTGACAGAAAAACACATCTAATTCAAGAATATATCAGGGATTTGCACATTTTGCCTCCATCTATTGTTTCTCTAAAGTGCAGTTCGCTGAGAACATTAAAAGATTTTTCTGTACTCCTAAAAACTAATTTTCTGAAATGAGATTTTCAAGGTTTACTCTTCAGGTACAAAGAAAAAGTCTTTAAAAGAGGGTACATTTTTCCTTTGGGTCCAAGTCACATGTTACTGTGTAGGCTTTAAGTATGCACACTTTCCTAAGTACCTCATATTCACTTATGTGGGGTGCTATGGATCAAACATAAAGCTTGAAACATACTTTACTACTGAGCTGCATCCCCTGCCCCATTGTACCGAATCTCATATAAACTTTGCCCTAGAACCTTAAATTTTTTTTAAAAAAATGTCTGTATTTGGTGCTAGGGAGTGAACCCAGAGGCCCGCTAGGCTCATGACTGAGCAACACCCCGGCTGCAGCCTTACCCTTCTCCCAAGGCCTCGCATACCACACATTACCTGTGAAGCTTTTCTTCCGCTCAGATTCACTTTCAGAAACATTGAAACTGCCTGTCCACACTCTGCTTCTCTTTCTCTCCCTCTCAGGACTGAAGGCCAGCAACACCCAGTCCAATGGTCAGATTCCCCAGGCTGTACCTCGCGTCAGCACTGTTCTCCAGGAGGCCCAGAGACAGGCTGAAACCAGCAAGGTAAGGCTCCAGGGGAGCCCCACCACCTGCCGCAGCTGGCACTCCCGGCCCGCCTTCTAACCCATGAGCGGTGTTCGGGGACTGACAAGCAGATGTGGCTCCAACACTGAGAAGTCACCATAGTCGGATTTCATTTGGGAAACTGCTTTGTATTTTTTATAGTAAAGTCACCTAGGCTAGAATCAAACACAAAAACCAGCTCTTAGCACATTGCCTCATGAAAATGTAAGCATTTATTTTAAATGCTGAAAGCATTTAGCAACATTTGTTTTACAGAAATAATTTTCCTCTTTAATTTTAATATTTGAAAAAATAGCACCCCTGAGTTTTAAGCTCTTGCAATAGCTACATATTTTTTCTGAGTAAATTAGGGCACCAGTTAGTTACTCAAAAGCCTTTTGGGTTAAGTGGGTCCCAAAAGCAGACTAGAATGCTACAAAAGGATTATACTATATAATGTGTATTTCATATTTTGTATTTTCCTTTTAATGTCCTACATACATTCTCAAGGTGATGGAGATGAGAATACATTTTAAAATAAATTGCCAAGTGCTGGGGACTAGCTAGTAGTAAACTACTTGCCTAGTGAGTGTGAGGCTGAGGGCCCCCCCCCAGCACCATTAAAATAAAATGAAATCCAAATTAGTTTTACAGTCTCCCTAAGTTTTTTCAATATATTAACGAAGATTCACTTAAATCGATCTAAAAATCATAGCAATCATTGTCATTTAGTCATTTTACCTGTCCTGTTCATAACGTCTCATGGCTATATAAATCCCATTGAATGCTTCCCATATGATTCTAAGCTACCTTGAATAATTGTGACAGTAACTTACCACTAGTATGTTTAGCTTAATTTTCCCCTCATTGACTCCTTCACTTTTTTCCATCCTTGAGAGGTAGAAACAATTAAATCTTGATGTTTGTTGAATGTTTTATATTTTTTGAGAACTACTGTAGGCTTTTCAAAGTCGAGTTTCTCTTAATTTTCTTATCTTCTCCAGCCTAACAATTTTGTCATATAATGTGCTTTCAGCTATTTCTATAACATCACTTGAAGCATTTAGAAAGCCCCAAAGAAATAAGAGAAAGCCAAAATAGGATTTTACGGCTGCAGATTTAGCTCAGTGGCGTAAATGCCTGTCTGGCAAAGATGAAGTCATGAGTTCAATCCCTGTTACCAAAAGAAAGCATTTTACTATGTGGGAACACCAATTCCCAAGCAGCCTGTTCAACAACTTAAACTCAATCATGAAGCACTTGTTTAAGAAAAAAACTTCCAACTTTAATCTTCAGTGGTAGGAGATTATTAAGCAGAAAAAATGGAAGCCTGATGAAATGTCAATTGGAGTGGTAATTATCACGAAAATAACGACATTCAACTCAGCTGCCATAAATTTCTGGAGAAGTTGCCTTAGATTAATATACATTGTTGTTGTTGTTGTTGTTGTTGTTGTTGTTGTTACTAACTCCACAGTTGACAGGTGAAGGCCAGACCAAATCTGGTGCTCCCAATAGCGCACGCATCATTGTTTTACTTTTTGGGTCTCACGTATTTCCATTCCGTTTCATCATACCCTGAGATAATAACGGGGACCCCGGAGTACGTGCTATGTCTGCCTTTCACACCGTTTAGCACAGGTAAACTAACCCCGCAGCAGATGCTGGGCTTCCCGCCTGCCCCTTCTCGGAGGTGCGGAGCTGGAGGCGCACCGTTCTGCACAGGCCCTCACCTGCCGGCCGGCAGAGGGCGAGGCGGGGCGCCTCAGGCTGTGCGGGGCCACGAGAGGCGGGCGCCCTCGGGCCTCTGGGGAAGGCGCGTGCGCCTGCGCCCCACGGCCCCCCGCCCCCTCGGCGCGCGGACGCAGCACGCGGACGCAGCACGCGGCTTCTGTGTCGCGCGGGCCCAGCGCTCCGGGGACCGGGGACTGAGGGCAGGCGGAGGGCAGCCCGCGGGACCCCTCCGGCAACAGCCGCGTCACTCCACCCGCGTCGCTCTCTCCAAGGAGAAGCCCGCCCACGGCCCGCCCGACCCGGGAGCGCCCCGGACGCAGCCGCTGCCCAAAGCCAGCCCGCCGCCACCGCCCGCGCGCCGGAGCTCCGAGCCCCGCGGCCCCGCCACACCCGTGCCGCCGCCCCCGCCGCCCAAGGCCGCGCCCTCCCCCGGAGACCTCCTGCCGCCACCCCCACTTGAAGATCTCCCGCCGCCGCCGCCGCCGCCGCCCCCCGAGGACGAGGTGGAGGAGGACGAGGCGCTCCCGCCACCGCCCCCCGAATTCGCTGACCCGCCCCCGGACTTCGTGCCACCACCGCCGCTGCCGCCCTTCGCCGCGCCCAGGGCGCCCCCTGCAGCCGCCAAGAGGTCTCCGGCGCCCGCCAGGAGGTCAGAGTGCCCGGGTCCGGCGGCTGCCGAGCAGGACTTCATGTCTGACCTCATGAAGGCCCTGCAGAAGAAGAGGGGCCACCTGTCCTAGGCCGCGGCCTGGTTGGCACCTCCGGACGCCCTGCCCAGCCTAGGCCACGCGTTGCAAGTGTCCAGGGTGGAATGGTGCATTGTAGCCAGCAAACTCGGGAGTGGAAACTGTTTAAATGTACATACCTTACTCTTGTACTGTCGCCCCCCAAGTTAACTAAAATGATGTTTCTGCTCTATTTTATTATGTTTATAAGCATCAAATTAATAAACATTGAAAATTTTCTGAAGATAGTGCTTCCAGAGATTTCATTGTACAAATTTTGGTTGGTATGAAAACTATATTTGACCTTCTGAAAATAACTTTCAAAGTCTGACACCTTAAGTCTTGTTAACCGTGGATGTTTTCCTTTTTTGTGTCTTTTTGGATTTTTGAGGGAGTTTGTCTCTGAGACGGGAGCTTGCTGTGCAGTTAAGGCTGGCTTTGAATTCCCAACACTCCCCTGCCTGAGCACCCTCAGTACTGGGATTACGAGTGTGTGGCACCGTACCTGACTTTGTCTTGATCCTCAGAATTTTCAGAAAAGTCAAAACATGGAAAAGCAGTCAGGGGTGGAGGCCTGTGATTCCAGCACTCGGCAGGCTGAGGCAGGAAAATCATTGTGAATTCAAGACCAGCCTGGGTTACAAAGTGAGCTCTAGGCTAGCCTGAACTGCATACCGAGACCCTGCCTCAGAAAGAAAGAAAAAGAACAAAAGACAAAAAACTGACAGGCAAAATATATTTAGTTTCTTTGAGATTCATGATTAGTGACCTGGATCCATAATGTTTTGATTTCGCTTTTATAAGCTGAATGAGGTACGTGCTTTGAAAAAAGTTACTTAGCTTTCGGATTTTCTAGTATTACAATGCTATAAATATCCTATAAGTAAAAATGTATATATTCTTCGACCTGAAATGTTTTTCCTGAGAGATGAATTCAGTGCACAATTTTAATTAGCCAATGAACCCTGGATCCTGTTACTTGAATCTATCTTCTCTAATTGATTTCTGCTAAGTCTTTTAGATTATTTTAGTTTTATTTCCATGGCTCTGTTTTTGTATTTCATTGTAAAACTTCTCAAAATCTTAAGTGAACAGAAACTAAATTTAAAATAATGTATTTTTAATTAAGAAAAATGATTAATTTTATATTTTAATATATGTCAGAAAAACGTGAGCTCTAAATTGTCATGTAACACAAAACTAGTTCAGTTTTAAAACCAAAATACTAAGTAACTAAACCTGGTAAGTTAAGCCTGCAGGGAGAAGAGGAAATAGCAGAGAAGATGCTTTTAAATTTTTCTTGAGCAACTACTCGAAATAGAAAGTAAAAATAAATCACAGGGGCTGGGGGTTTAGCTCAGGGGCATCAGCGCCTGCCTTGCAAGCAGGCAATCGTGAGTTCGATCCCTGGTACTGATAAAAAGGAAAAAGACAAAAAAAAATTTAAAAATAAATTACATTAAATCACATCCCATTTGCACTAACTCTTTGCTGGTTTTATTTGTTTGTTTGGCTTTTTAGTTTTATGATTTTTATGTCAATGCAATAAAAACACAGTTTTTCTGATTCCCAACCAAAGCTGGGACCATTGTGCCAGTCTCTGGAGCGATACAGAAAGGGTCTGAGTGAAGGTCATCACTTTGTTAAAGACCAATTCAGAGATCCAGAGCTCTACAAGGACAGGTTAATGCTTGTGGCCTCACAAGTTGTCCAGGTTGCTTGGAACTGATGTATATCAATGAGCCATAGAAGTTTCTCTGTAAGGATTGTAATCTGAATTTACTTACCTGAATCAAAATGATCAGGTGGTTTGCAGACCAGGAAATACATTTATATTTGAAAAGAATTCAGAATTCAGGATCACCAAAACCAAAAGAGCAGCACTTTGCTAAGTTTATTTCAGAGAATTAAAAAACCTTTATGGTCATTCATGACCGCACCTACAGAAGGAAGGAAAAGCATTCCATTTGAAAGTCAGAATCTAGAGGATGAAGGAACCCTGGAAATGATCCAGGCCACTAGGATCCTGGTTCTAGGTAAAAGCAACTAAGACAAGCTCAAGCTAAAGGTAGGTTTTTATTCCATCACAAAGCAGAGTTCCAGGTTAAGTGTATACCTAGATTCCTAAGCAAGCCCTCAGACTGGCTCCTGGACATTCATGATTTTCCCATTTCTCATCCCTGCTCTTGTCTGTGTACTCTCCTGATTACCACTCTTTGCAGCATGATCCTGCTTTCAATCCCTATGATGGAGGACAGGCACTTCACTTAATTCCATATTTTTGTTGCCTCTGTCTAGAGGCTGGGACAGCCTGGCTGTCTTTCACTTTAACTGAAGAAGTACATTATTGGCCAAGCTGAGTAGGCCATTTCTTGTCAAACCGTCTTCAAGCCAGAATATGAAAGAAGATACAAAGGGCCCATCGTGGTGGATCGAAGGGGCCAGAGAGCAGGGCCAGGACACACTCTTTCTCTCCCTAGTGCCCAGTGCCAAGAGCAGTTCTAATGGGTTTCACCGATGACCCCCAAAGTGTCTCCCAATTTACTAACCTTAAAAGCAATGAGTAACGCCTGCAGGACCCGGAGGGCTGGGACCACATATATCCCAGGCCTCTTAACTTCTATCCGTACCAGAATTTTCCTTTAGAGGGAAGAGACTGTAACTGTCCAAAAGTAGTAAAATGGTTGTCAGTGTTAACATTTGATGATAGATATTTTAAGAAAGCTACTGAGGAGAAGTTTGTGATCAAACTGTTGACATAGCAGACCAAAGGGTGGATATACTGCCCAACCATTTCTCTAATGTCTCCAGGGTAAGTCCACTTGGATCTCTCTTGAGTACAAACACAATATTAAGAACATTTTGACCTGAAATCTTAGACCTCTGAGCTACTTTTAGTTAATCTTGGGCAGAACTTCAATCTTCACAGACCCAGGCATTACCAAATCATTAACTCTGCAATTTCTGCTCAGTGGAACAAAATCTTTGGTATTTGTTTGAAAGGTCCCCACATTCTCTGTACATGAATGGGATCATTTAGATCAGCCCTAAAAGTGAAACAAAATTTGTTCCTCTGTTACGAAGTTGAGTGAGATATTTGAATGTGGGAAAGTACAAAAGTCAGGGTGGATTTGGAGGTAAGGGAATCTGTGTAGGGACTTAGGAACCCTCTACCATGAGGTATAAAGACTAAAAAGTTTCTAGTATGGCGTTGTCATCAGGACAGAAACCTATGTAATATCTCACTGCAAGCAGAGTGTATAAGGAAGTATGATTTAAACTACCATGTGATAGAATCTGAAGTAAGATTTTACAGTTAAGTAGGGAGAAGTAGGCAGAAGATGGGAGAAGTGAACATTTAAGCCTATGCCATATTTTTTATAGTTGATCACAGAAATTATAGCTAATCTGATACCAAAATTGTCAAATTAAGTCATTGAATCTTTGAAGCTTTTGAGACTTTTTATGGCTGAATACATGGTCAGGTTTTTTTGGTTTTTGTTTTGTTTTCTGGTTTTTGTTTTTTTGAAACAGGGTCCCACTGTGTAGTTCATGCTGGCTTTGAACTCATGGTGATCTTCCTACCTCAGCCTCTGGAGTGCTGGAATTACAGGCAAGTGCCACCACACCCGGTTTATGGTCAGTTTTTATGGATGGTCCGTGTGTGTGTGTGTGTGTGTGTGTGTGTGTGTGTGTGTGTGTGTGTATTGAATGTGCTATGTATAATTTTTAGAACAAATTTGTTAATTATGTTGCTTAACTCTTTGATAGCCTAATAGCTATCTTGTTTAGTCCATCAGTCACTAAAAAGGATGTGAGATCCCCATCTACAAAGATAGACTTTTCAGTGTCTTTTCATTGTTCTAGAAAATTGTATCTTATGTATCTGACATTGCTTAATGAATGTAAAGGAAGTTTACTTCCATGTCTTCCTGGTGAGCCAAATCATACCTCACTGTGGAATGTTCTTGCTTTTAAATCTTACACAGCTGCATTCTTTTATCAGTTATCTGCATGGCAAATCTTTCTAATTATTCACTTTCAAGTTTTCTCTCATTATATTCTAGATTTGCCAATACAAATGACACATAAGTGTATATTGTTATGCTTACCTCTAGTGCAGTAAGCATTATCTTTTAACTGGCAACAACTGTAAGATGTTCTTGGCACTTTGCTTTGCACTCTGCCTGGATTTCTCTTTCTTTTTCTTTATAAAAGGATTCTAGCTAGTAAATGAATGATAGGATTATATTACTTTATAATCTTTTTGAATCAGTGGGTCAAGGTAGTGATCAAAATGGCTGTTATAGCACAACAAGAGAAATATTATGTACCTCCTGACGCAAATACACCACATCTGCCTTCCAGTGGCAAGTATTTTTGGCAAATAAATCAGTCCTAAATGACCAAATCTCTAGATTTACAGAAATACAGGAAGAAAATCACACTGAACCATACCACAGGATGCAAGTAGCAAAGTTCACACTGTGGGAAACACTACAGGAGAAACAAACTGGGTTCTTCAATTAAAAGACACTGAGCGCGCGGGGGGGGGGGGGGCGGTTCAGTAGTACAGCACTTGCCTAGTATCCAGAGAGCTCTGGGTTTGATCCCCAGCACCAGAAAAAAAAAATCAAGAGAAAGAAAGATGTTAAGTGGGACCTAAAAGTGGACACATCCAAAGGTACCAAAAGAAATTTACTATATATCATCATTTAATCATAATATATAGTTCTTTTTTGGATCCCAGTTAAACAACTATAAGATAATAATGATGGGGGCTGGGGATTTATCTCAGCAGCATAAGCGCTGCCTTGCAAGCAGGCAGTAGTGAGTTCGATCCCCAGTACCGATAAAAAAGAAAAAGGCAAAAAAAAAAAAAAAGATAATAATGATAATGATGATGATTATAAAATAATAGGAAAAATGAAAACATTATGCTATTCAAAACATTAGGGAGTTACTGCTAATTTGTCATAAGGTGGTAATGGTATCACAGGTCTGTATGAGTTGTCTGTTTGGGGGGATGGTGGTGAGATGAGACGTTTCATTATGCTGAAGGCTAGCCATGAAACTCTGGGCTTACCTGGCCCTTTTGCCTCAACCTCTCAAGTAGGTCCAAGCACACAGAACCACACCTGGCCAGGGTGAGTTTAAGACATTAACATTTGGAGATGTACACAGTAATATCTGTAGAACAAATAAAAAGTCCAGGATTTTTCTAAAAATACGTAAGGATATGTA